AAGCATGCCCAAACATTGTTCTCGGGACTTCAACGCCACGTATCAACCTGACCGCTGCGTCGTGACGATCTGGAATCGCGCCAGAGCGCCATTTTTGGGCCTTCGACACCGCGAACCAACAGAACTGTTGCACCCACATAATCCTGAATCCTTCCAAAACGCCATTTCTGTTACGTGGATAATGGGAATCCGTGAAACTCGGTGCAACTGTTGCAAACGAATGCTCGCGGCGCTCACGCGAGAGCCACATGTTGATAAGGAACCGCCCTCAATCCGCGAAGCTCTTGCAATTGTTTACAACGAGTGTGCGCGGCGCTAAGGCGAGAGCCACAGTTTGAAAACGACCCGCCTTTAATCCGTGAAGCTCTTGCAAATGTTCAAAAAGAATGTGCGCGGCGCTAAGGGGAGAACCACATTTTGAAAACGGCCCGGCCTCCATCCGCGAAGCTCTTACGAATGTGCGCGGCGCTCAGGCGAGAGCAGCATTTTGAAAAAGGAACCGCGCTCAATACGTGAAACTCTGGCAAATCTTCACAACGAGTGTGCGCGGTTTTAAGGCGACAGCCACATTTTGAAAACGACCCGTCCTCAATCCGTGAAGTTGTTGCAAATGTTTGCGCGAATGTGCGCGGCTTTCAGGCGAGAGCCACATTTTGAAAACCACTCGTCCTCCATCCGTGAAGCTGCTGTCACCTTTAAGCTTCAGAGTCATGAGTGGTGAGGAAGTCTTAGGCAAAACGCCCGGCCCGCCCTGAAACCTGGCCTCGGGGTGCGACAGGGAGGAGTTATCTATAAGGAGAAGGAATAGAGGAGGAGGAAGAAGAACCAGGGGATGCTGAGGATGATGAGGAGGAGGAGGAAGAGGAGCAGAAAGCAGGCGTAGGGAACATGGTGAGCGAGGGAGGAAGGGAGGGGGGATGGGGCAGGCGCAGGGCGTCGGTCGTCGCCCCAGTCCTGCTGGAAGCCCCTTGCGGGCCCATGTAATTTCACTTTGGAAGCGGATGGTGACGATGATGATGACGGTGGTGGTGGTGGTGGTGGTGGTGAGGAGGAGGGAGAGGGGGCGAGGAGGAGAAGAAGGAGGAATGAAGGGGATGGGGTGAGGAGGAGGAGGAGGAGGAGGAGGAGGAGGAGGAGGAGGAGGAGGAGGAGGAGGAAGGGGCGATGGAGGGGGGAGGTGAGGTGAGGAGGAGAGGTGGTGAGGAGGAGGACGAGGAGGAGGGGCGACAGGGGGGACGGGGGGTTGGGAAGGGAGGGGGGGGAGCAGGTTCCGTTGCCATCTCGGTTCGATCGGTTTCCGCCCGCTTGTTTGCGCGGGCCCGCACGGGCGGCCCAGATGCGGCACCCACGCCTCAGATGATTCAACAGTGGACTCCCAGTCGGTCTGCGGCGGCACTCCTCCGCTTGCGTCCCGAGGGAGGGGGGAGAGGGACGGGGGGGGGAGCAGGGAGGCGAGTCCTCCTCACTCCCCTCCCTTCTCCCTCCTCCTCCTCCTCCTCCTCCTCCTCCTTCTCCTCCTCCGCCTATTTTTCCTTCTTCTCTTTTTTCTCTCCCTGGCTACGTGGCCTCCCCCATGCGCCCGCACTGCCCAAGAGCAAACCTGCACGCGGGGGCACCACTTCAGGACGGCGACTCCGTGCAGCCCGCGTCGCCGGAGCTGGGGCGGGCCCAGGAGAGCCTTGCCAAGACGTGCCACCTCGGCATCTCGGACGCCAGCTTTGACCAGCTTGACTTGGTGGTCGGGCTGCCGCTGATGCCGTGCAGGCCGCCCGCCCCAGTTGCCACTGCCGAGGTCCACTTCTGGTGCGACTGGGCCTCGACTACTCGCGTCGACCACGCGGTCGCCTAATTACACCGACGGCTCGGGCTACGACGCGGAGTGGCCCGAGCTCTGCCGCTGTGCCTGGGCGGTTGTGCAGACGGGCCCTGACAATCTGCCCGTCTTCGCGTGTTATGGAGTGCATGAGGGCCCGAGGCAGACAGTTGACCGCGCAGGGAGGGCGGCCGTGCTGATGGCCCTTAGGCATCTGCCCTGGTTGCCTCACATGGTGTCGGACCTGGAGTCGCGGGTCAATGAGGGCAATGCGTGGGGCCACAGCCTGGCCAGCTCCTCCAGCCAGTGCGCCGACATCTGGCGCGCGGTCTTCGCTGCAGCGGGGCCCCGTCCAGGCTTCTCCTGGTGCCCTGCCCAACGCGACATCGAACACTTCTTTGACGGCAGGGTCGCCGCCGACTTCTACGGCAATACCTGGGCCGATTTCTTCGCGAAGATTGGAGCTCCAGAACACGTTCTTCCACGGGCCGTTCACGAGGCGTTCGCTGCCAGGCTCTTGAACGCCCGCCTCGAGGGGAAACTCTTTGCTTGGCCGATGGCAAGGAACCCGACGCGCTGGTGAGGAAGACAAAGCGCCGCTCCCCGTCCATGGCGCCAGCACAGGTGGTGTCGGGGCCGCCATCGCTTCCGCACGGGCTTTGGAGGTTTCTTCTGCGCTGCGCATTCTGCGCAGCCACCGCTGGGAGTGATGAGGCCACGCAGCGTCTCGAGCGCGCTGTCTGCGCGCCCCCCCCCGCTGCAGAGGCTGATGGCTGCTGCCTCTGCCAGCTTCTCTTCGTCCTCGACCTCCCTGCCCTCGGCCAGAGAGGTGGCCATGGCGACTGCCGCAGCTGCGGCGGACTCCCACGGGAGGGGTGGGGACCTCAGTACCTAGTGGCGTTCGTCCTGGGGTTGGCCCCCCCCCCCAGTGGGGCCCCCGCGACTAATGTCTTCGCTAGTAGTTTGCTTGCCCGCTCCTGTTGCTACTGCGTCTAGTAGGCCAGATAACGGTGATGGGGACTTCACCCTGTTTCGGTGACATCATATCGTCACCGAAGGCCCAGTCGTGTAGTATTTGAGATGTGGCGGGGGCTTCTCAGCCCGCCAATCCCCTGCCCTGCTTGCCAGCTGCAATGGGCAGGTCACGTGAGAGAAAAGTTGGGGGATAGCCACAGCCCTTAA